AAGAGAGAATAAAAGGAAAATGTGTCCGGAGAAATTCACCCAGGAGTAGAGCAAAAGAAACGGAAAAAGAGACCCAGAAAGACAGCCAGTGACAAAAATAAATAAATAAATAATAAAAGAAGGTGGCAGGGAAAGGCTTGTATCCAGGACCCTGCTGTTCCCAGGGGGGGCTTGGGCTGGAACCCAGAGAGTGTGCCGTGTGTGACAGGCGTGTTCCTGGGCGGGAGAAAAGGAGGCGGTGTTTTTTGGTGGGAGATTCAGTGCCCATGGAAAAGCATGTGAGCGGCTCTGGGCAGGAATCCAACAAATAAATAAAACGTCTAAGACGGCGTGACAACAATGTGTATTTGGGTGCGTGCCCGTGTTCCTCTGTCTGAGCACACGCACACCCGGTAAGGAAGACAAACGGGGCTCGTGCCTCAGAGTAATTAATCCTCTGGCTAATTGACTCTCTCCCCATACCTAATCGCAGTGGTCACTGCCCATATCTGGAGAGATATCAAGTAGAGAGAGAGAACCCCAAAGCTAACAACCTTTGGGACTGGAATTGAGTTCTTGCTGGACTTGGCAGCTCTAAGCTCCTTTCCTTGCTTCCTCCTCCTTTTTGGGCAGAGTTCAATAGTTGTTGCTGCCTTGCCCCTCCAGGTTTGGGCAGCATTAATAAAGGTCTCAGATAAGGGTAACCTGATCTCTCTCTCTCTGTCTCTCTCTCTCTCCCCCAGTCTCTCTCTCTCTCTTTCTCTCTCTCTCTCTCTCTCTCTCTCTCACACACACACACACACACACACACACACACACACTGAAGCTGTTCTACAGCCCTCCACTTGGGGAGCCCAATCTCTGAGGCTGAAAGCCTCCCACTGCCCCTCTGCTGTACCTCTCCTGCCCCAAAGCTCTTTCTCCACTATTGTTTGGTGGTGGTGGTGGGGATGGTGGCAGATCCCTGAGCTGCATCCTTATTTGGGTTTCTACTTCCTCTACTGGTGTGGGACTTGGGATAGTCCTACAGTCCCTAGTAAGGCAGGGGACGTTTGGGATGGTTTGTGAAGCAGCCTGGGGTAGATGGAAAGAGAACAGTAGGAAGGATGAGGTTTGGGAAAGGCTTGGGAGAGATTTCATGAGACCAAAAGACTCAGTTGTGGGTTAAGGGACAGAAGCCCAGAGGGAAGCAATTGCCATCTGATAAGAGTGAGGCCTCCAGGGACAAAGAAGGAAAAAGGTAGACATGGTGCCCCATGGGAAAGAACATCAAGTGTGTGGGAGGCAGAAAGGTGGCCATGTCTTTGTGCCTCTGTGAGTGAGAGGTATAGTTCTGGTATCTCTGTATGGCATGGGGAGGGATCCATCATTGCTACCCACAGCACCCTTAGTTCTCACGACTGGGAAGAGTGGGCCAGGAGAGAGTATTGGACTTGGATTGACTCCTTGGTTGCTGAGTTGGCTGAAGGAGTCTGAGGTCTCTAGTCTGTCTGGTAATGCAGTTTTGAGGCTTGGGTTTTAAAAGTGAATGTCAACTCGAACCCCTGTGAGGTAGAAGTTGTACTCTGTTGGCCTCCTCAGAGGCTAAATAAATAGATGTAGAGATCCATAAACCACCCAGGCCACAGAAAGGAAGAAGGGGTGGAGGGGAGCATTTTAGAAAAAATTCACCCCCCCCCCAACACATTCTTAATTGTCCCTTGGGAACATTTGTACATTTGACCAAAGCAAATCCCCAAGCAATATCAAGAAAATGACTCATAGGGACTGGAGGTCCAGAGAGAGTTGGGGATGGGGAGAACAAGGAGGCCAGGAGAGATGGCCAGCATGTTTATCTGAGAAGGTGAGAAACTTGCCCCCTCCCCTGCCCCATCTCTGTTAGGCTTTAGGAAAAAAGTGAGTAAGTGTACTAAAGTTCCAGGGGAAAGAAAGAGAAGGGCATCTAAAAGGCAAATCCAAACCAGAAAGGAAAGAAAGTGAAGAAGAAAGAGAAAGGCGGGGTTGGGGGAGAAACTATAATAAAAGAGGGTGAAGGCGGCCCCAGGAGGTTGGGCCTCGTCCCAAACCATCCGTCTTCATTGTCTCCGTGTGTGCAAAGGCAACTTCGGCATAAGGAAAAGCCACTATTGGAGCCGCGGCTTTATTTTATATCCTATACATCAGGAGGGAGGCAAAGCTTTATTTTCGCCAAGAGACAGATATTTTATTTCTCTCTTACGGTTTTATGTGTGAGAGATGTCAGGTTGCCACAATGGATGGCTAATGCATAGGCAAGAGGAAGCCGTGTTGGCATGCTGTGTGTCATGGGGTCTGAGGGGGGTGAGCGGGCCTGGGATTTAGGGCTGATGGGACACTCTAGGGGATTTCTGCTAAAACATCTCTCTTCATAAATCCAGAAGCATGGTCAGCTCAACAGGGAGAAGAAGGAGTTTTAGAGGGAAAAAGAGTTGGGCTTAGTAATAAACGAACACACAAAGGAGCCGCTTACCTTCCAACAGGCTTGGGCAGTGGGGACAGACGGCTCCATGGAAATGCAGACCCATAGCCACACACATGCCATTCACAGGGAAGTATGTTCCAGGCATAATCATGTCAGTTTTGCTTTCTTTTCATGTTTTATATTTTTCTGCCTTCCGGTTCTCCTCCTCCTCTAGACAGGAATCCTTTTTAACCTCAGAGCCTTGGGGGGGAAAGAGCCATTAATTTGCAAATCATCTGATCTGTGAAAGGATCAAGATGACTGTTTTTCACCGCTAAATCTAACGTCTTGCGTGGACACAAACAGGCACAAGCGAGCCCAGAGCCCATCATGCTGCGAACCCTTGAGAGCGTAGGTCCCTGATTTGAATCCAAGAAAAGCCCCCACCCCTTGTCTTGCCTTTGAATTCCCAAAGTGCATAATGCTCACATTTTCATAACTGGGGAGGTGAGGAGACAGAAAAGTAGGGGAAGTCTGTGAATTAGTGTTCCATTCGGGACTTACATTTAGCATCTCCCCTCCATCCAACCCTTTACCAGCAATTTCTTATAGGAGTAACTTTCATTCAGTCTCATATTCTAATCTTCATTTTTTCATATCTTGGTTAATCTCCTTTTTCTTTCTTCTCTCCCCACCCTGGCCCCCCCGTGGAATGAAAAGGTGGTCATGGTCTTCCCCTCTTTTCAGAGACCCTCAGGCAGCACAGGCCCCCTAGACAATAAGCAGGGGACCTGGCCACACCATGCCCAGCCTTTGAGGAAGATAATTAACCTGTCTGGGCCTCAGTTTCCTCATCTGTAACACAAGGGGAATGGGTTAAATGCTTGCTGAGTTCCCTACCAGCTCCCGACCTCCTCTGACCGAATGAGATAATGTGTGAAAACACTTTGTGAACGCTAAAGCCAGACGAATGCCAGGGATTATTATTACGATTCTAATCAATCCTCTTTTCTCCACATGGATCCCGGCTGTTTAACGCCAGCAAGCGGGCTAAAGAGGGCCCAAAGCGAGAAAGCTTAGCGGAGATGGAAAAGCTCTGTGCTTCGGAGGGGGAGGAAAAACCCTGCATCTCCAGAAACATTCTATCTCTGAGGCCTGTGGGAAGGGATGGGAGAGGGAGGAGATCTGACTTGAAATGACCCATTTCAGTCAACATGGCGACAGAGCATATTTCTTCAAAAGCATCGTTTGTCTCCAAGTGACTGACTTAGGAACCTCATGAGAAGGCGATCTGCAAAAAAAAAAATTTTTTTTTTCCAGGAAGAAAGGAAAGAGCAAGGTGTAGCTGATTAGCAAGTTAATTATTTCAGTACCCCAAGGGTTCCAGTGTGGTGGTAAGTTGTCCAGCCCTGGTGTAATTTCACAGTCCGTGCATTTCTTGGTGAGCACCTGGGGTGCCTGAGTCTGTCTCTCTTTCTCCATCCACCTGCCTTGTGTCTTCCTGACATACCTGGGAAGAGGAGGAGGAGCTAGGGTGCAAGTTGGTACAGACTACCTGGTCCTTTCTTATTCCTTTCTCTCTCTCTCTCTCTCTCTCAAAAATAATCTTTTGTTTAATAAATATTAATGAAGCAGGTTAGCTGAAATTGGGGATGCCATGAGGTTATTTCCCAGACTTGGCCTGGAGAAAAAACTGGGTTGGAGAAGCCCTGGCCTCTCACATCCGTCCTCTGAGCAGCCAGCTCTCCCAAGTGTCTGATTTCTAACCTCTGGCCACCACTTGTTCTGCAGTAGTGGCCTGACTTTAAGATCTGATTCCCCCTCAGGGAGGGTGGGGAGGATTGTGTGGTCAAAGGGACAACTCCCCTCAGAGAGAGAATCTGGGGATGTGAACAGGAGCCTCAGAATTAGCAGCTTCTGCCCTTTTTTTTTGCTCCATTCTGGTTTCTGCTCCCTGGGCTAGTAGGGCCAGCCCTCTGCAGCTTCTGCCGAGCTGGGTGAAGGGAGGGCTCTACAGTTTACTTAAGAGTGGTCCCATCTGCTCGGGCTGGCCTTTCATAAGGGGAGGGATTTATGCAGTGTCCTTGTGCACAGACCTGGGATTTGGCTGAAAACCTTGGGCCTCTGAGAATAGTCCTGAACGCTAAAATGTTCAGCCACCGAGATGATTCATGATCTTGTCTGTGTGGACAGGGTGTGCGTGCGTGCGTGCGTGCGTGTGTGTGCATGTGTGCTTGAGTGCATGCGTGCGTGCATGTGTTGGGGAGTGCAGACACACGCTGCTAGATGTTTTCTACCATTCTCACTTTGAATCCAAACATTAGGAAACTTTTTTATTCTTCTTCCCCCTCCACCCCGTGTTCACTCAGGAGATAGCCACGACACCAGGTTCCAGAGAAGCAGCTTCCTGACTTCGGCAGCACAAGGATGGCACAGTACTCTCTGATGCCGGTGTTCAGCTGTCCCTCACAGGTTGGCTGATTCCCCCACTGGTGGAGAGGGCTGGGGGCTGTCTGAAAAGATGGTGCCACTGCTGGTGGCAGGGGACTTGGGGAGCGGGGGGGGGGGTGAGTCCAATTGCTGTTCGGGTTGGACTTGGTCTCCTTCTCCTTCCAGTCCTAGGAAATCTCCGTAGGAGAAAAGATAGCGAGGGAAACTTTGAATGCAGGAAGGCAGGCAGAGGGAGGAGGTTCTCATTTCAGTCTTGCCAAAGATGAAGCCCAGGGAGGGTGGTGACAGATGTTGGAGAGTGAGGCACTGAGGTGCCATGTGGGATCTTGGCCCTGACTCAGAAGATGAATAAGTCCTTGGCAAGTTTGGAAAGACTTACAAGTGCCATGTATTCATCATCCCTGGGGATTAAGTGGGATTTCTTTTTGCTGCCCAGTGGCTGGTGAGGAAGTGTTTTCAGCTTGTCTGATGCTCGTGCGTGGCTCACGACCCACTTTGACCTTGTAGAGGAAGACTCTGACTTTCTGGACTCTAGGTTTTCTTTGCCTCAGGCCATTCATAATGGAGGCAGAATTCTAGTTCACTGTTCAGCACTGGGTCTGAAAGGTGAGAGCTGGCAGGCCTGTGACCAGGTGATCTACAAGCCTTTTCTCATTTGGGCTTCCCCTTAAACAAGAGACGCAAGGGACAGTCTCTGTGAATCTTTTCAGGAAGGATTTACCCTCAATTTGATAAGTTTGGTACTTCCTTTCCTTCCTTCTGAATGGATAACTTTGTCAGTCAACCTGAGGGTCTGTGGAACCTATAAAAACGCTTCCTTTGGCCTCACTGTTTGAACCCATGCTGGGGCTCCCCCTGGTCTGCCTTCCCCCACCCCAAATCCTCACCCTCTACTTTATCTCCCTTTACTACAAATGCAGAGACCTCCTAGGGAAGTGAGAAGGAATGGGTTTTAATCAGGTTTAGGGCAGGAAGAGGAATAAGGGAAGCCCAAAGAAAGATGGGGGCAGTTGGGATTCTAGATGACACTCTTCTGTTATCCTTCTCATGTTTTGTGTATTATATCCTACAAATTATGCCTTTGTTGCAGTAATCTACAGCGTATTTTGTACACTTGCCAAATGCTGCTTGGTCAAAACAGTGTTAAATAAAATTGTAAGAAATGCTACCCGGGCTTTGCATGGGTTATTTAATTCTATCAATGATAAACAATGTTAATGTGCAGCATCTCTGTCGGCACAATATCATGTTTCATTTATATATTCTGAGACATATTTAAGCATGAAAGATACTGTTTTCTGACATATACATTTCCCAATGATTACTTAGGAGAAGCATGATAGAAACAGCGGAAAGCTTTTCCTCTTACGTAAACCCACACCCGCCGTGGACACAGACTCTCTGTCACACATAGTCACATGGCTGGCCAGCCATGTACATATCATCATATACATGCTTACATGTAGGCTTTATAAATATAGATTCAGCTTTATGCACTTGTGTACATCTTTAGCTGTATGTACCAGTCCGTACATCAGGCACTATTTTGGAGTGTTTGGTACATTTACACATATTTTCTCCTCCACCTACTACACTGCTGCAGAAATTGATGCTAATATCAACACACATGTCATTCCACACATGGATCTTTATAAGTACACCCGCGAGTCTCTTACTGCTAAGTCAAGACAGGCCTAGAAGGTCGTGTACCCCCATACAGGAGAATACTCTGCACAGATGCCTACACATCTGTGTTTATGTACATGTGCACATTTGCACACACATTCTCCTATATTGACATTCAATCACATACTCCATCTGGCTATGGAGCAAGACTTGTCCTGTTACTCCTGAAGGCTCCAGACCTGGTGGACAATTTTTGACCTGGGAACTTTGTGCCTTGTATAGGTCTAGAGGACTTCAGGAGGAACTGTTGTCAAACTGCCAGCCTCCCTGGCCTCTGATGAAAGAATATGAAATGCAGGGATGGGAGAGGGAGTTGGTTAGCTGGTCTCTGCAGACAGAGATGCCTCCAAAAGAGGTCTCTCCCCTGTATTAACAACAAAATAAAACAACAACAACAAAAGAGGTCTCAACCTTTTATTTGCTCATTTCACAAACATTTCAGAGAGATAACATAAGAATCAGCATTCATGATCAGCAACTTCGGTCCTGGTTCTGCTTACTAGTTATCTGTGTGGCCTAGGCCACCTGTTCTCTGGGCCTCAGTTTCCACATCTGTGACATATTAGCCGACATGGGTGGTTCTCCTCCCTGGCTGCATAGTAAAATCATCTGGGGAGGTTTTACAAAACACAGATGCCTAGCCAGGCATGGTGGGCATACCTGTCATCCCAGCAATGAGGGAGGCTGAGGCAGGAGGATCAAAAGTTCAAGGCCAGCCTGGGAAACTTAGTGAGACTGTGTTTCAAAATTAAATTAAAAGGGTTGGGGATTTAAAGCACCCCTGGGTTCAATCCCCAGTACACAAAAATGAAATAAAATAATAGGAATAAAAAATTAAAAACAGATGCTTGGATGCCAGACCAATTAGGTCATCATCTCTAGATGTGGGCATCTCGTATATTTTTTATGTTCAGCCAAGGTTGAGAGTCACTGGAATGCATGATCTCCAAGGTTCTTCTACCCTTAAAACTCTATGTTCGAGAGGACTTTTTATATGTAAACTCCAGGCTGGACCCAGAATATTCTGCTTAAAAGTTCTAAATTCACTTAGAGGAAAAATCACAAAAAGTCGTTTAAATTATTCTTCAAGTGTAGGAAGAGAAACATTTTGAACCAACTATTATTCTGGAAAAACTTGCCTGCATTCCTAGCTCTGTTTCTTTGTTTGCTCTCTAATCTTCTCTGACTCATCCAATGCTAACTGTAGGCCACAGATGCAAATAGTCTGAGTACCTTATAAACGTGATGGATACCTTTGCGACCACACATATTTCCTTTCTGTCACCTCACCCAACCTGTTGGATAGCATACTATTTTTAGAAGGGGAAATGAAAAGACACAGGCCTCAAGAGGACACTTCTCTCCCTCCCCTCCAGCCCTGACTCAGAGAACGCCAGCCCCCAGGCCCACGGCCCAGTTCCAGAGGCTGGAGCAAGCACTGAGTTGCACTAGTGTCCTAGAAAGCTGCTCTCCGGGGCTGGGGACATAGCTCAGTTGGTAGAGCAGGCTTGCCTCGCATGCACAAGGCCCTGGGTTCAATCCCCAGCAACACACACACACACACACACACACACACACAAACACACACAAACACACACACGAGAAAGCTGCTCTCCACCTGGGCCTTTGGGAATCCCACATTAATATTCAACAACAACAGTTCCCAGGCAGAGCTGGTCCCCCTGAAAACAAACCCACTCAGTGGCCACACCTGCAGGAGGCCACTAAGGCCCCCTGAGACACCAGAGACAGCCCTGCAGCTCCCTTTTCCATTTAAGGATGTTGGGGCGGGGGGTCTGCCTTTTGCTGGGGTGGTTTGGTTCATCCTGATGGAAGGCTTTCAATTTCCCCTCCACTGAGCCCTCACTCAAGGTGATTTTCAGGTCCACCAAGAAAAACCAGTTCTCTCTTGCCCACTGTCTTCCTCGCACCTCTTAGCTGGCCTGCTGAGGAATTTTGGACCAGTTTTCTTTAGGAGCATTGTCCCAGTGTGGCCACTGATGCTCCAGGTAAGCACTGGGTTAGTGACTGGGCTTGAACCCCCTGTGGGATTGGGATCCAACCCCCCCTCCTCCACTCTTGTTTGGGGCCAGTTTCCCTGTATGCCTTTTCATTTCTTCCCCCTCCTTTTCCTTTTATCGTCCCCTGATGACATGCCCACTCTGGCTTCGGCCCCCAAGAGGGCCGGCCCATAAGGCAGGAGAAATTGCTGGTCACAGGGACATCTCAAGCTATGTCCCATTCCTCTTCTTCCCTCCTTCCCCTTTCACCCTTTGCTTGGTGCTGAGGAGGATGTCCCAGAGACAGCGTTCTAAACCCAGAGCTCAGCTTCCCAGGCTTGAGCCCCTTCCCAGGCTCACCTCCCCTGGGGCCTGGGGAGTATCACACCCCAGGACCTGATGGATGCCCCAGCCACCTTCAAAGGGCTCGGCATTTGTTTGCAGTTCAGACCTTGAATCCTGCTCTGGTCATAAATGTTGTTTATTTTGACGAGGACCTACTGAAAGGGGACCAACGGATAGGCAGGGCAAAGAGAGAATTCTATAGGAGAGATCATAAAACCATTAGCAGGACAGGGCTTTTAAGGGTCATAGGATCATAGAAAATTTCTGGCTGTGAGGAAGATAGGCCATCAGGAAGCGCAGAGATGACCATTCTGTCAGCAAAAGGCCTCTAGGGGCCACATAGGATGGAGGGGTTGGGGCCCCATGTATAAGGAACTCTTTCTAGAGAGTGGATGCAGGGTGTGGGGACATGACCCCCCAATAACCTTACACCAAGTAGAGGAGGCCAATAGTTGCTGAACATGATGGATTTGCCCTCCTGGTGGGAACCGCCAATCGCCTGGCTGCATAGCAGAGACTCTTATCCTGGGGAATGGGCACAGCTCCTGGGTAAGAGATTCTGCTTTCACCATTATTTATTGAGTAGCTAGTATATACCAGGTACTGTGCTTGATGCTCTTCCAGCACTCTGTCTTAACCTTTGAAATAATTCAGAAAGAGATGTTTTTATCTCTGTTTTGCAGATAAGAAAACTGAAGCTCAGCCAGGGGAGGTGGTTTGTCCAAAGTCACACAGCGAGTTAGTGGTAAGGCTGGGATTAGACTTTCAGGCTTCAGATTCTGAACCTACTCTCCTCCCCATCTCCCTTCCCTTCCACGTGGTATCCACGAAGGTCAGGTCCCCTGCAGCCTGAGAGAACAAATGGCCGTAGGTTTCTTTCCCTGCAAAGCATGTTGGGTTAAGGGAAATTGGGGAGCAAACCTCCTTACAGTAGAGTCTCTGCAGAGAGCACACTCCCATAAAAATCCATCCATAGTCAGGACACCAGTTTGGTTGTCTTTCACCTGCTGTGTGACAGATCAAGTCATTTCTCTGAGCCATACCTCTCTGAGCCATACCTCTCTGAGCCATACCTTCCAGATCCATTTCAGACCTGTGAAAGGTGAGGGTTGGTGAAGGAGGCAACAAACCAATTCCCTTCCAGCTTGTCTTTGGTTTAACAGCTGGGCCAGGCTAGGGGGAAGTGAGACTTGGTTTTGCCCCCAAAGCAAATGCAGGAAAGGCAAGATTTGCTAAGATCCCTGCTGGGAACCTGAGAGGCTGAGAGCCAGGGCAGAGGCTGGGGCGTAAAGAGGCAGCTTAAGTACCACGTTCTTCCCTCAACTCCTGACTGTGTAATCCAGTTGCTCAGAGAATGGAAAATCCCCTTCTCCTCCCCCGGGTCCCCTCCCCCACAAAGGCCTTCTAATAGGCCTGCCAGCTTTGGGGCGCTAATCTGCCCAGACTTTACTCTGTGAGCAGGTTGCCCAGGGTCCCTATCCCAGCTGCCCCTCAGTGGGAGATGGGGAAGGCTGGGGCGGGGTCTGGGGAGTTGGGGAAATCTCCTGTTCCTGGCCTGCCCAAAGGATCAGAGAAAAGAAACAGGACTCTCAGAACTGGGGGGAGGTGGGCAGGAGCTCTGGGTCCCTGGCAGAGGTGCCTGGGGTGGGGCTTTTTATTATAGAGCCCTATTATTTCATCTGCCTGCTCCTTTCCTTTTTATTTAAAGATGGCTCCCTCCCCGAGGTGCCTGGGGTGGGGCTTTTTATTATAGAGCCCCATTATTTCATCTGCCTGCTCCTTTCCTTTTTATTTAAAGATGGCTCCCTCCCCAGCACCTTCGCCTTCCCCACCCCCTCCACCTTCACTCATCCATCCACTGAGCACTGACAGCTGCCCTGCGGGTGAACTCCTGATCCTCCTGTGGCTGCAGACACTGGAGGGGCTCAGGCCACAATTCCCCCCACCCACTGCCAGTCAGCGCACGCGCACATGCACACACACACACACACATGTGCACATGCACACACGTGCACACACTTATATGAGGTAGGGCTGCCTCAGTTGCCCTGAACCAGACAGAGGGAGAAAATAACGAAGGTGAAAGAATAGCAGGAGGACCAGGAGGAGGAAGATGGGATGAAGGGTAGAGAGTCGG